AATAATAATAATAATAATAATAATAATAATATATATATATATATATATATATATATTCAATTAATAATATAATTAATATATAATTAATAAATATATTTAAATAATTAATAAAAAATGTTATATTTTATATTTAAATATAAAATAAATATTAAATTATAATATATCATTAACATAAAATATTAAAATATAATTTTATTATTAATATAAATAATTAATAAAATTTATAATAATATAAATATTTAAGAAGATAATACCAATAGACCAAATTGATTAGACTCAAGTGTTTAATTGCAAACGAAACTTCTGGGTTTCAGTTAAGACTTAAGATTCTTGGTAGAAACTGACCATACATGTGTGTATATATGTGTGTGCTCGCGAGCGCGTTTTAAACGATGTAGAATGAAGGAAGGAAAGAAGGAGGGAAGAAAGAGGGACCTGGTTGTCTCTCGTGTCGCTCCTTTTAAGGTGTGCAACGGCCTTGCAGGTATACGGTTAATTGACAATGAATACGATAAAATGAAAAAAAAGATTCTACGATTACGATTTAACGCGATATAAGATAAGGAAAATATTTGATAATGTACACATATATATATATATATATAAATCTCATTTGGAAAAACTTTCTTCCTTCCGTTTTTTTATTTTCGTTAATATTTTGTTAAATAATTTATAATAAAAAGAAATAAAATAAAATAAAATAAAATAAAAATTAAGTGTACAAATGTAATGTTGTATCGTGCTACGAAATAAAATATTAATAAATTATATTAATAAATAAACTAAATAAATTATTAATAATTTATATTATTCAATATTATAATAAATTATAAATTAAAATAATAACATTTAATTTCTACAATTTGTAACGAGTAAAACTTTCAAATAATAAATTAAAATAGTAAATATAATAAATTTGTACTAATAAATAGTACTGAAACAATAAATAATTAACTGCAATATAAATTGAAATAAACACGTGTGATATCTAACGTCTCAATAACACAGTGTTATTTATATATTTTTTTATATTTTTTTTTTTGCATAAAACACAAGATCGCAAATAAACGATAAAAATAAAAACGTGTTGTTAAAGTAGAATGACATTTTTCACGAAGTGATTCGGTTGAATCAAGATAACTGGAGATCACTTGGCGTTTCCCTTGCAATAACGCTTACATGTATACGATACCCAAGCCTATCCATATTAGGATCGCGTATAGCTGAACGCTGACCCAATTTTTCCATGGCTCCTTCTCCACCTCCTCCTCCTCCACCTCCTCCTCGTTTGAAAGAAAGAAAGAAAGACAGAAAGAAAGAAAGAGAAAATGATGACCGTGAGAGAGAAGTGGCCTGTTGAGTTATGGAAGGTTATGCTTACCAAATAAGCATTTTATAAATTTTTAATGTCTCGATTTTGAGAAACGTTCATGTAATTTCAATTTTCAGACTCATGGGCAATGGCAGATAACGCGATAATGAACAACGTTACACCGATGATGTAAGTTTAATCATTATATGACATAAGGAGAATAATATTTCATAAAAATACAAAATATACATCAAAATATTTACAGTGATAATATTCATGAGACTACATACGAAGAGAACAAAACTCAAACGCGACATCGTAGTCCTGAACCTGTAGTTAAAAAATCTACGGTTAACAGAGAGCTAGTAAGTATTGTAATCATATAAAAGTAAACAATTTGTTCACAATATTTTACATTTTTAATATTCTAGGTATTTTCCGATACTTCGGCATCTCGTACTATGCAAACATCACCTCCTCCTGGAACTCAATATCGAGATGTAAAATATATACACGATTCATCTAGTATGTAAATCTTAAAAAATACAATTTATTCTCATAGTTAATAATACTAATAATAAAAATGATTAGAAACGTTCCAACAATTGAGAAAAGTGATGATTAACATCTGAGACCTTTCTTTATTACTAAAGTACAAAAAAAAAGATCAACTATAACGATCTAAAAGATATAAAAACTCAATTGGCAATTAAGTCAAACGATTCAAAAAAAGACAAGAAAGAAAAAAAGTAAATTAAAAGCTTAATGTTAGATGAGGTTCATTCTTCATTCATTCTTTAATAATCTTGGCGCAAATTTGAGGTAATAATCGTTTAATATCTTAGGTTATCAGACCGAACCACGTCCCATTCAAAGTACGGTAACTACCGTGCACGCGAATACCGGCCAAGAATACGGAAACGTGGAATACGTCCCAGTACCGTCGCCAACACCAGCGATACCGATCAACTTGGCACCCGGTCCCAATACGAAAGTAACGACAACCATAAAAACGTACACCTACGAGTTGCCAGGAGCACCAGAGACGTATCTACCGGGTGGCACTTTGCCAGGAGGGGCAGTACTTCCAGGAGATCAGACTATTACCTATACTCTGCCCAGAACTGGTACTTCAACCACAGACAAAACGGTCACCTATCAGACTGTAACCGAGAATATACCGGGTGATTCGGGTAGTCCGATTAAATACAGTAGCCCACCGCCTATAGAAGTGACCAAAAAGTCAACAGCACTTCATAAGGAAACTAAATTTTATCGTGAAGATCATCATGGTTTGCCACCTTCTTCAGGTGGTACACCTCCACAGAATTATCATCCAGGTTCACCACCAGTACCACTACCTCAGACAAATATCGATTCTAGAACGACTGTTACTAGAAATGAGAAATATTATCACGTGGATGGTAATTTTCCTAATGGACAAGGCCCCCCATCGTCTGATAGACCAGATTATCCTGGCAATACTACTATTGTTTATCAAAATCAACCGCCTGTAATAAATGAAACTCACATGACAACGATAAATCGAATCGAGGAACACTATCCGAGCAGACCACCTTCCGCTGGACGACATCCAACGCCAGATAAACCAGGAACTCCAACAAGAACGAACTATTATCCGGTACAATCTCAAGGAACTCCACCTGGTAGCACTACAGTTTATAAATTTTCCAATACTACAACGACAATACCTCCAAATAAAAATCCCGAAGATCACGAGGTACTTCTGCCTAAGCCTTTCCCAACAGGAGGTGTACAAGTTTATCCTGTTAATGCTAAACCTTCAGGACCTAGCACCGATCAGCAGGGACCACCAGCAAGACTCGAAGATCTTATGGCATCGTTTTCTGATTCTGAGGTAACGTATTAAATCAAATACGTTATACGAATTAATAGGAAATTGATTGATATTTATTATTATTAATTTGATACTATATAGCGTGAGGTATTGGAAAACATCGAAAAGAAAGAAAAAGAACAACAAAAGAAAGACTCACCGGCCGTAAAGAAGGAAGTTGATTTTCTGCCTCATACTCCTCCTAAGGTGAAGAGCAAGAATGTTGCTGGACCTCCAGTATACTACCCTCCTGGTTCAGCTGAGTTTACTAAGAAAGAAGAATATGGTGCAGCTATGTCACAATCTAGTGTAAGTATCATTCTCCTGATGAATTTCGTAATACAATTATATTACAATACTTTTTAACTTTATTTTTTTTTAATTTCTTAGGGAGGATGGCAAAAAGGAAGTGCAAAATACGAATATGAAGCATCTAGCAAAAGTAAAAGTAAATCTTCCAGTGGGGCAGCAGTTGTACCAGTTTGCTTACCACTCTGTTGTGCCTTACCATGTGTGATTATGTAATTTAGTTGAAAAATAACTGTATTGGTAAGATATGTTAACAAAACAAAAGAGATAAAATATCATTATCTACGTCTTCCACTATATGTCCAAATATCAAGTCAAGGCTTTATGGTATATAATTAAGTAGATTATATTTTGTTCTTCTTGCCAATATTTTTAATATCTAATAATATTAATAGGAATAATATACATTGGCAATTCAATAGTTAATTAATAGATTCTATGATTATATTTGTATTGAGAAATGATATCTGATTCTCTCTCTTAACACTATACCGTCCGAAGACACTACATTGATGTCATATGAAAACTATTAGACAAATGTCGGTGTTAGACGAATGAAACTTGGTCAAAGTGTTAATATACAAGTATATTTTCATCCGTCATTAGATAATCATAAATTATTTATTTCTATTTCCATTATATAGATATACTGTCATTAATAATTATAAGTCTCTTATGCTTTCTTACACAATATCATATTTGATATAATAATATATAAAATATAAAATATTGACTTTAGTATATAGCTGATTATTGACTACATATGTTCATTGATTTTAATCTTTGTACAAATTGTTTGCTTAAAACAAGTTTAATACGCTCTCTTTGTGTTACTTCAAAAAAGTAACATATAATATTATCTATATATAAAGAAATTAGATTTGAATCTATGATTATGATCTAAACGTGAAAAACACGCACATACATATGATTTGTACTACTGTAAAGCAATCATCACAAAGGACAAATAAAATATATGGGTTGACGTATACGTAAGGAAATCATATCATAAAATCAATTTTGTGGGCTTAACTAATTTTTATAATTCATATAATTTAGATTTGTAGAATCTCATTCTATATTTTTAACAATTAATACGTAAGAAACATTTTAACCATAGTGCAATGCCGTGAATTATGGTGCTATAATAATTTTATTTTACGTAATGTTATTACACATTACGTCTATAGATAAAATATTGATAAACAGTGCAAAATAATAAATATAATCGCAACTCATTATTGTATATAAAAATAAAACTGTGCCATGTTTTGCATGCGTTCTGTGTATAGTAATAATAAATTGCACTTTAATAAATTACATGTTGTTTCTAAAATATCATATAATCATTTTTCCTTTTATATTGTAATTGTATAAGCTTATATTGATAATTCTCATAATCCATTTCATAATATTTTATATTCATTTTAATAAAAATATACAGCGTAAACGGTAGCTACGCAGAATATTGTATCCTGCAAAAATGTCGTATAAATTTTCTTGAATGTTTAATAAATATCTAACAAGATTTTGGCAATTCTTACATTTACAAAACTGTCGAAAGCATATGCATCTGCTTCAGTGTCCCATATACATCTCGTTCCCATTTTAATACCAGCCCCATGTTGTTCCCCCAAGACCACATTTACGACATACTTATAACGCTTAAATTGTAATTCTATAATAAAATAAACAAAAACAAAAAACAGATACCTATTTTCTATCAAATTTGTATAAAGACTAATAAAATTCATAGGAAACCTATCTCACACCTTTAATTTTTACTTTAAGTATATCCGCTATGTTTTTAGTCCATTGAACTGCATCCTGTGCATTGTATGTCTTTGTTGATAGTTGATCAAACAATACATTATGTATCACTTCTTTAGCACTTAAAGGCTTAAACCTTGACAGGCAACAAATAAAAGAAAATAACACAAATATAATATACATATTACCTGTGAATAGAAATTGTTTACGTAGGTTATAATATGCAATGTCAAATAAATTTGCTTAGGATGACATAACCTAATTTGGAAAATTAACATTCGAGTAAGATTATGAAGAAAAGTATTTTTTATGACATCTTATAAAAAATAGAAAAATACTTTTAAGAATATATATTACTTATCATAAAGATGGGGACGAATTCGATATACTGGTTCCGACGAGTCATTATCACCATCTAATACTTCCAAATTCAAATTCCTGCGATATTCTGCATTGTCAGCTAATTGGTTATTTTCATGATTTTCCAAAACATTGGTTTTTTCCATTTGCAATAATTAATTAATATTAACAAAATAAAATCACTTCTTTTATCACTACTTACGGAAAAACGTAACACTGCAAATTGTTTGTAAGCACGGTGTGTTGTTATGACGACGATGGTGGCGCTGCGATCGCTGCGCGCGTAATTTCAAATGGAACGATGAGCGATTGAATTCGCAAAACTAAAAATAAATAAAATTGATAATATTTATTATTGAACACTCATAAAAATTCTTCTCATTTATATATGCCAAATCTAATTATTAAAGAAATTTATTTTAAATGTAAAAAGTTAAGCATTAATCAAGTGATTCTGATAATAACAATTTCCAAAAGTCAAGTTAATCTTATTGGCTTTAAATATAAACGATGAAGTAATATAAATTACGAGAATAGACGTTTTTTATTTGATAATAGATAATTGGAATGTCAAAAATTTAATTTAGTATAGCATGATAATAGTTCTTTATTCCGAGTATATATCTCTCGTCGTTAATTGTAGTAGTAACATATTATCAGCAAAAATATACAGTCACTATAACATTTACTTTCTCTTTCTACAATCCTTTTTACATCAAGAAAGTATCTTCTTAATCTTATATCTTGAATCATATTACGTCAATGCATTGAACCCTTACGAACTAAATAATAAAGCAAGTTGATAAATGCCATAATTTGTTGTGATTTAATACATTTAACGTAATATTTTGTAATCCGTTTTTCGAACGAAGTACGATCGATAGTAATGAAACATAAGTCGTCAAGGTCTTAGAAATTAAAAGAAATACAATTCTGACCATTGGTCGACAAACGTACGAGCAGTGAACTAGTACCAAAGTACGTTATGGCCCAGTTTCACTATTAAAAAAATAAAATTTCACGTATCATTTATCTTTTCGCGTAAACCCTAACAAGGCTTACAACAACAAACAGTAAAATTTTCATCATCGATTATGCGATATTGATAATTTTTATAACTGGTAAAATCGGTGTCACGCATCTCAGCCGCGTGATCGTAAATCTTCTTAACAACCGGAGGAAAACTTGGTACATTTGCAGCGGCTGCTATTTCGTCATAATATGCCCATTGTTTTTCCTTGAGTTTTGTGATATATCTTAACTGTTAAGAAAAAAAGAAAATATTTGCACTAGTTTAAAACAAATGTTAGATTGAATAATTAATAAGATAAATAATCTTACAGGAACTCCTTCTTGCAATAAAGCATTCTTTTCTCTTTCGAAATCTTCCAACATTTCTTTGGAAGATGGTAACTTTACACGACCCTCCAAAATTCCAACAATATATTGAGCTTGGATGTGAAACATTGGAAAGGGAATGACTAATGAAGGAATCCCCATGAAAAATAAATTAGGCATGGTAATGTGTACCAAATGTTTATAAATAGGTTCAACATGATTATCGTCAGTACGTAACTCAACTTTAGATGACATAAAGGGATACGTAAACTTATAACCTGAAACAATAAAAATTCATATAAACAAAATAGAAATATTCGATAAGAAATGTAATTGTAATCATTTAAAATTTATTATTACCAGTGCAATATATGAACATGTCTATTTTGGCAGTAGTTCCATCGAGAAAAGTAAAAGTATTTCCTTGAATTGATTGAATTCCTGGTTTTTGAGTAACAATTTTTGCTAATTTTGATTCTATCGGTTTCGGTAAGTTGTGGCTTAAATAAATCTAATTACAATGAAAAATAATAAATAATATTTTTATAAATATGAAATTAATCTAATATGAAAAATAAAAATCAATTTTCTACCTGTTCAGCATATTGCGATATTTCAAGAGCAATATCAATTCCTGACCATGATGCACCTAAGATGCATACCTTTTTCCCGGTATAGACTTCAGGTACACGATATTGATGACTGTGAATACACGAACCGTGAAAACTTTCGATTCCGGGAATATACGGAACATGGCCGACCGTATAATGACCGTTGCATAAAAAAACGACGTCAAACGTCTTAACGCTCTCGACTTTGTTTTCCAAATCTTCATACTTGATGACCCAGATCGTTTGACCATTCTTTAACGTTTCCGGTTCTACGTGTTTAACCACGGTATTTAACTAAAATGAAAAACCAATTACTCGGCACTAAAAAAAAATAATTATATATAAATTAGATTAAATGCATTTTTTGTTTTTTGTTCATTGAATCTTTTGAATTATTTATTAACTTGAGATGGTTTTTTTCTTTTTTCATTTAACATTCCTATTCTCACAAGTACCTTTATGTGGGAATAGAGATTAAAATGTTCTGCGTAATCCCATAAATATTGACGTATCATTTCATGATGAGCGTATGACGGACCGTTCAGATCTTTCATTGGAAAATCTGGTATCTGCATAATCTCCTTAGGAAGGTTTGTCCTATGACAAAAATATTTCAAATTTTCTTATCGATCCCATTTTTTTCTTTTTCTTTTCCATTCCTTTATTTTATATATCTTCAATTCTACTCTAAGAACTAAAATCCCTATCGTTATAACTGCTTATCTTTCAAAAGGAAGCGCGTGCTTTTATAATTAAATCGATAACGGTAATAATCCTTATCACATATAGTCATGTATCTTCTATTTTCCGGAATAATATATTATAATGATCTCGTTAATGAGTCGAGAAGTGTATCATATGTCAATGAAGTTTATCACACTTTCCTCGTAATCTTTGAACAACCGTCTCAAGATGCCTATATATCTGTTAATGTAAGAAAGCGGGAACTTATCAAATGATCTTTTTAAATTAAGAAAAAAAAATGATGATAATTGAACGAACAGTTACTATCAAGTAAGATAGTCGTCTTTACTGGCATTTTGAAAAGGACAAACTCTTTACAAGAAAATAAAATAATTTTTTTAAAGACGAAAAATTTCAAGACTCGCAAAATATAAAATACTTTCATATAAAATACAAAGTTAAAAATATATAAATATAAATAAAAAAATATATAATTTTATAATATACAATGATTAATAAAATATTATTTATAAATCAAACCTAAGATTCTTGTACATGCTGCTATGCACTGGTAATCCATGTTTATCGAGATCAGTTTCATCTGTATAAACCCATGTTCCACCCACTTGATCAGTTTGCTCAAAAAGGGTTAAACTATAATTATCAGGTTTTGATGATAAATGACGAGCTACGACCAAACCGGCAACACCACCACCGATGATTGCGACTCTTGTTTTACTGCTCGGCATATTTTCTCCTATTGTATTATATATACATTTTATTTATTATCAATTATTCAAAAGATATTTAAATGATAATAATATTATAATAAAAAATTGAATAATTTCACGTACACTTAATTAACTCGTTGATATTTTTACCTACTAAACGTGATGATATTTTTGAAAATGACGATGATCAAAGAGATCGATTAAAATAAAATGTTAAATTCAATTTAATTGTAAAATAACGACGTTTTAAATATTAATAGATAATGTTATCGTTTAAACGTTGTTTTTATAAAACAAAATAGTTCATAAGTATGCGCCGACCACGAATAAGATCTACGAAGGAATCTTATAATATCTTTCAAGCTAAGAGTGTATGGTACCCACTGACGACGATTTAGTTTCGAACTGTTTCAAGCAGAGGCTGTGTTAAGACTGTTTCACACGAAATCCAAACGCGTATTGCAATAAATGTCTCTCACTCGCCTCTCTACTTGCCCCTCCGATCAAAGGCTTATGTAAATATGGAAAAGATTTCTTTATAGAAATACTCACACACAAATAATCATCGTTGAACATTTTATTCTGACGAAATATTCAAACTCGTGTAATAATAAGCACAAAAAGATTCTATAACTCGTTAGTAAATATAAATTAAATGAATATTTGTTTAGAGTTAAGTAAAATATATATAATTATGAATGAAATTAATTTGTTAGTTATTTATAATAAATTTATGCGTATTTTTTTAAAGATACATTGTAATCTTTGATAATGTTACACATATTTTTTCGGTTGGTACACTTCTTTTTCTTACTTATCTTATTTTTATTGACTAATTGAGAAAAGATAAGAATTAGATTAATTTTCAACAGTAGTATGAGAGGAAATTTTTTATAAATAAGCATATAATTTATTATAATAATTATAATATATAATATATTGTAATTATCAATGACATATAAAGACACATATTTATATTATATATTATATATTATATATTTTATATATATTATGTATTATATACATATACATATATATATAATAATTATTAATAACTATAACTAATAATATATTTAATAATAAAATTATTACATTAATTAGATTTATACTTAATTATATTAATGAAATTATATTTAATAATATATTTATAATTAATTATAAATAACATGTAATTTTTAAACATATATACACATACACATAGGAACATTTTTGATATTCCAAAGAAGGTAATAATTTACATTGACCAACATTTTCTAATGCTGCAAGAGAAAACTGTACAGCAACATTTCCTTTCAACGAGTTACGACAGAGAAAAGAAAATTACTACGGGATAACATATTTTTTGTTCAATTTAATCGAGAGACTTTGATTATGTTAATTACTTCCTGGTTAAAAGTTATATGAACCGATGAAACGATGTCGATTATAAATGAGAGTTTCACGATCGATTCTTTTTTATTTTGCGTGGGTAAACAAACTTCGATTTGTTTGAACTCACTGTTCCGTTTGTCGTACGCAGGATTACATCATCATCATCATCATCATCATCATTATCATCATCATTATCATCATCATTATCATCATTATCATCATCATCATCATGGAAATTCGTTGTACGAGTGATTTATACTCATACTGATTATATACCTAACACAAACTCTCTGACTATGAACTATAAACATATGTCTCTTTCTTTTCTTTTTTTTTTTTTTTTTTTTATTCGTCATTCTTGATCATATTCGAAAATCGTACATTTTTATCGTTAACCTTAGAATTACTGGAAGAAATTTACATTCCAAGGTGACGAAACGAATAAGTCCATTGCAAGGTTTGCGTTTATCTATCCTTTCCTTTTTTTTTTTTAATTTCATATTACTGTTTTTAGAAGTGTCCTTTGTAAACTTCAGAACGTATACCCATATTTTGTCTTTCCATTAAAATAATACTGTTAGTTATTTGTCACACGTGTTTCTTCATATTAATCACATGTTAGATGATAATACCGTAAATTGTTAAACAGCGATAATATACAAACATATATATATATATATATAATCTATTAAGAATAATATTATTGTTTAAGAAAAGGAAATGTTAAATATTAATTTGTAATTTTACTCAATAAATTTTGAAACATATATTTATAACATTGATTATTCAAAGTTCGACAAAACAATACAATAATTATTATCTTATTAATGACGACGTGTTTTCATCATTTTCTATCTTACAAATTTTCATTTCAAATCGTTCTATTACGTCATCTATTTTGTAAATCTTATTCTATTTGATTTTCATTGTTTTTCACATGATTCTTATTCGATTTGTTGTTTGTTCATTACCCTTTTCTCAAATGACGTAAAATAATATAGAAGTTATTATGTTCGTATAAAACTTTATCAAATCGTATTTGGAAATATAAATATGAAATCATTAGAAAAAAAAAACAAGAAATATATAGTGACCTGTAAACCATAAATATCTTTATTCGTGGATTTCAATAGTCCTCCTCATTCACCTTATTATCTTACTTTCAAAATGATTTATAATTCCATTATAAAGTCATGCACAATATATGTACGATTCGTTGGTATACAAATTGAGATATGCGTTCAGGGGTATCGCGAAAAAAAAAATAAAAAAAGAAACAAACTTTTGTGTTTATCACTTTTGACCAAACGATATTTATAACTTAACCATAAGTAAACGAAATAAATTTTTTATGTATTGTAAATATATTTTTTAATTAATTAGATAATGTAAGAGAAGGTATAATTAAACCTGTGACAATTTTTGATATTAAAATTATTTCTTTAAACAAAAATTCTATTAAAATTTTTGGAATATTAAATTATTGTAAAACACTTCGCAACATGCTTATCTACTATTACACAATATAATTGAGTAGTATTAGTAATATTTGTATGAATAAGTTTAAACACAATCAATAAAACGAATTTAAGTTAAAAGAAAAGATTTCTTTGATGATGATGTTATTAAATATTCTATAAATTCTACGGGTTTGTAAGTATGAATTTTTTTTATTAAAGTCAATGATAAGCAATGTTCCTGACGTATTATTATTTTGTTTCTTACTTGTATCTTTCATTTGCATAATATGTCTTTATCAAAGTTTACATATTAACTTAGAAAGATGTTATTCGAAGGAATCTTTTTATTATAATATATTTTTGTCGGCAATCTTAATTAATAATAAGTGTATGTGATATTATGTATGTATGGTAAGTATATCATGAATAAACTAAAATGAAATTGCAATTCTTTTAGTGCATACAATAAAAATGATTTTAAGTTGATTAGAAAGAATTATGATTTTTAAATAATATGTTTATATTAATAAAACTATATTTGTTAATCTTGTACATGAAACTTCATTGTATTTTATTTAAAAATGTAAAAGATTCCTGTTTATCATTTTTAAGATGGATGCTATATTACCGACAGCTTATTGACATGTTCAACAGTAGGTATTTAATTTACATTTTGAATTATTATTATTTAATAAATTATATTGCAAAAGATATTTATGACCCAACTCTTATTTGCATGAACATTGCTGCATACAGAAACTTTTGTTTTAATAATAAATAATAAATTAATATAAAAGTAATGTGCCCCAAGATTTTTTACGAATTAAATAATATATCATTGATCGGTAATCAATTACTACATTTGAAAATTTATTTTATCTACATTTATGGTTATTGATGATTTTTTGTTTTGATTAATATAATTATTTAAGAAGTAATATAAAAATAAAAAATTATTATACACGACTTTAATTTATGTATAAATTAAAATTACAGAAAAATGAAATATGTTTATTTTTTTTGATACTGCGCAGAAAGAGGTAAAATGGCAGACTACAATTTGATTGGTTATTCACTAATCACGTGACTTTAAATCTATCTTTCAATAAGATTCAATTTAGAATTAAATGTTTATTAGAAATTAAATAAATTATTTTAATATAATTGTAAAAGTTAAAATAAAACTATCATTCTAAAGATATTAACAATATTATATTTGAGAACAAAATATCCTGCGTAAGAATCCTAACCTTACTAAATACATCATAATATTTCTTCAATTAAAAAACACCATGTAAAATGTTAATAAGACAAAAATATATCACAAACTATATGGTTTATACTTCCATTATATTTTCTAATATTTTTACCATAAATTATGTTTATTTAAAATCTTATAAATCATTATACTTAAAATTTTAAATGCATCTATCTACTTATCCATTATTTATTTAAAACTTATCAACTTTGATAAAAAGTGTAATTATATTGTTTTATTTGTAGAGTACTTTCACCAATCTCATTTCCATTTCTAAACAATAGAAATTGTTGGAAAGAACATCTTGAAAGAGATAAATCATCGTAAGATAAAAATAAAAAAATGATTACTGTAATTAAGAAATTAATTCAATGATGGAAGAAATGCGAGTGTTAGTACTTTAATTAGCCTTATCACTGGTGATTTCTTGGTGGCAGGAGAATCGCATGAAGGATTTCTAAGGTCTGCTCATGCTCGTATTTGAGAAGAACAGTCGGGCAGTGTTAGTCGTGATACTGTCTGATTAACATTCATTCACGAATAAGAAGACTAAAAATTAAAAGGAATATTTAATTTTTTCAATCGAGATCAATTTAAAGGATTTTAATAATAAAAAAAATATATTAATAGCTGAAAGATTATAATTTTCTTTTTTAAAAGATGACTACGTGAATGCATTATGTTTTAAATAAGAAAAAGCAACAAAAATAAATACAAAAGCATATATATATGTAATTTGTTCATAAGGAAATAGTGAAGCAAAGAAGGCACTGTTTTCAGAGTTTTAATTAATTTCAACATTTAAAGTGAATTACATCGTATATCAAGAAAAGCAATCCTTCACGTATAATTGTATAATCAACGTTTTTTGCGTCAATTACGACGTAACCATATAATCAATATTCGATTTAAAAATGAGTGGAAGTAAGTAAAAAAAAAGAAGCGTTTGTATATTTATCATCGTAACAAAAATAATCAAGATATTTTTATAACAATTATTTTTTAACAAATGAAAACTTTCAAATATTTTATAATAATTATTATAATACATATTAATATTATTATTTACATACGACTTAATATTTCGCAGAATTTATGCAATGACGGATTATAAAATTGTTAAGTAATTTTATTTTTCTGTCAAATTCTCAGAATAATTAATTTCATGAATTATAAATATTTTATTTGATATAAAAAAAAATCTAAAAAAACAATATATATATATATTGAAAAATACAGATCCTAGTTACTTCGAGATAATTTAAATTCATTATGAACAAATTTCTAAGTATTCAACTATTTTTATTTTGTTTTATATTTTCCATTTCAATAAATATAAATGTGGATATCGAAAAACGTCAGATTGATTTTCTACTAAAGGATTTATAAATATAGTAGTTATTATATTTTTCAAATGCAACTATAAATTTCATGAAGCATTACGAGAAATGTTAGACTCATCCGATTTATGTATGTACTTTAGATCAGGGGTGGCCAACTTTATTTTATATTTGATTGAATTCTTATTTTAAAAATATTTGATGATTTACTTTATCTAACTATATTCAAATTTTACGAATTAACATAATTAAAACATCTGTCTTGTGTACCAACAAGTGATATTAAAAGAATGAGAATATTTAAATGAAAACATGATATTTGATTAGAATTTTGAAATTAAGAAATAATCGTAGTAAAAATACAGATTAGATTTTATTTTTTTTTTTGGTAATAATATAATTAGTGGAAAGTTCGCATCTGCGTATTTCCAATCAAGTGTTAATAATTTAACGTATGTTTATTAATTTTTTTTTAAATATGGGAATCATTGAATAAGAAACGTTGCTTAAATATAAACTTTAAATATTAAACAGCCGATTGAAATAAGTTTATGTAAATTTCAAACAAGATTAGATATATTTATTATAATTTGATGATATTGATATTGCATTTTTATTAATTAACATAATTTAAAAAATCTTTAGTTAAGTTTTAGTTAATTTAAATGAAAAATTAATAACAAAATTAACAATCAAGATGTTGGCCACCTCTGTTGTAGATTAGGGTACTTGCTTGATATATCGCGTCAGCCTCTTTCAGTTTAATTCCGTCAATGGAATCATTGACATTCATCCTTGATTATACGCATTATCCGCTACCTTGGGGGCGAATCATACTATATATATCAAAATTGAAAAATTCCATTGTCATACCCTGAGGAGAATGACCTACGACTAGTTCTTTTTACTATTACTACTACTAAAATTATGTTTCAAAAATAATAAATATAACATTAGTAGCATATGCATATTATCGTATTTTTAGTTTTATAAATTATTTTTATAATTTGATATAATAAATAATATATACATTTAATATAATAGAAAAGTTAATATAATGATAAATTTAATATAATAAATTTAATATAATAAAAAAATAATTTAATATAATATAACATTAGTAGCATATGCATTGTCATATTATTAATTTTGTTTAATTATTTTTAGAAATTAATATAATAAATAATATATAAATTTAATATAATAAATCTAAAATAATAAAAAAATAATTTAATATGATTTAATATAATATAACATTTATAATAATATAAAATTAGTAGCAAATGCATATTATCCTATTATTAGTTTTATAAATTATTTTTATAATTTTTAATATAATTTAATATAATAATAATTATATTCGTAATACCTTAATAAATATTAAAAAATTTATACTAACCTTTTAAATAATACATAAGAAAATATTTTATTTAAGTTGTGTTAATGGTGTAAAAAAAAAATTAAAATAAATATTGTTTTATTTTTTATTTAAGAAAAGGAATTCATTACGTGCCGAGATGTTCTATGGTACTTTGTTTTTTGCGGATTTGCAATTAATTATATGCTAAGGATCAATTTAAATCTAACTATAGTGGCTATGGTTGTACCAAGACCGCAAGCAGCCTCTTCCGTAGAATGCGAGGTAGATAATTCTACTAATAATTTATGGAAGAATACAACATTTAATGAAAGTATCCATAATTCTTTAGATGTCACTGAACGTGGATTAATTTTTGAAAATATTACGGTAATTATTTATCTATATTATTATAAAATTAATGTATATTATAATTATAAAATAATTTTAATTAATTTATATATAATATAATATATATATATTATATTCTATTATATATCTAAAATAATAATTAAATTATATAATTAATTTAAATTAATTTAATTTATATTATAATTATAAAATAATTAATTAATTCATATATAATATATAATATATATTATATATTATATTATATTGTATATAAAATAATAAAAATAATATAATATAATTAATATACTATAAAACATTCAAGATCGAATTTCAACACCTCGATACAAAGTTAAACATTTTTTTGTTTATAATTTTTGAATCATTCTATATTTACCAGTATAATGATCGGTTTACTTGGAGCGAATATGATCAAGGACTTGCATTAGGTGCTTATTATTGGCTTCATTGGATCTCTCAATTACCTGGTGGTATTTTAGCAAGACGTTACGGTACAAAATTTGTTTTTGGATTTGCCAATTTTTTGACAGCCCTTTTAGGTTTTCTCATACCCTTTGCTACAAGATATCACCTAAACGCTCTCGTATTTATTCGAGTTCTTCAAGGATTCGTTGCGGTAGGTTGAATTTCATAAAGAAAATTGATCTATCAAAGAAATGACTCAATTAGAATGAAAATTTGATTTAGGGTGTTGTTTGGCCCAGTATGCATGACATGACAGCCAAATGGATACCGTCAACAGAAAGAAGTAGATTCGTCAGTGCATATTTAGGTAAAATTGATTATAAAATTATATAAATTTGTTTTATTTGGAACATTTTCTAAAAATCATTTATATTTCATTTTTTCAAAGGTAGTTCTGTAGGTGCTGCTATCACTTATCCACTTTGTGCAACAGTTTGCAATGCATTTGGATGGGAAGCTGCATTTCATGTCACTTCTATTCTCGGTGTAATTTGGTAAATATACATAAGAATAAATTAATCATATACTTATCGTTTTATTAACTATGTAGAAAGAACCGTATGTCAAAATAAAATAACAGGTAGTCTCGTAATCTTTCTCACACTACCAAAATAAAAAAATATGAAAAGTTAAAGATATAAATTACGTAAGAAAGATTGATTAGATTTTTGTTAAAATATTTTGTACATTAAAAACACACACACAATATGGTTTCATAATAAATTATTATAATACACACACACAACAACAAATATGTATGAACATTTTAACAAATTTACAAATATTTTTTAATAGAAATTTTTTACGAAATCTTCAAATACATATGTATAACTAGTTATTTATTAGTACTATTATTTATATTTATTTTTTTAATATTACTAATTTAATTTATATACATATAAATTATAAATAATTTTAATATATAAATTTTATAATATATAAATTAATAAATTTATATTTATAATTTATTAATATTTATATTTATAAATTATTAATAATTAATTAATTAATATATA